CCCCAAAACCCCAAAACCCCAAAACCCCTATCCTCGCAAGATATATTGAAGAAGATTTTAGTATGATTAATATTACATCTAAATGGACCAATACTTAGAAATTTCATGAAGAGGGGTCCGATAGATCAGTTTTGTGCATGTGAGTCCCCACTGGGACTTAAGCATTCATCCTGATGTGGAGGCGTTCTTAGGATTTAGAAAGAAATACACTTTGGATTCTGGTTTAAATGATGATATTTCGTTCTTCTATTGGGAAGAGTCTCTTTAAACATGTTAGAAGTTATCACTCCTGAGTTAAAGTAAATCTTTCAAAATTCTACAATTTGAGGTTTGTTAATCTTAAAGTAAAAGATTAGCATTGTATAGCTATCTTATATAGTCTTGATTCCTTTGTCCAACAAACAATCTTCAGAGATATTCATAAGATTATTGAGTTCATGTCTTCATTTTCGGATTCTGCACAAATTGTTATCAGTCCAGCTGGAGGAAGGTCTGTCTTTATTTTTACTCAACAGGTGTTCGTAGAGACTGAGTATTTTCTACTGCCACAAAATTTAATCAACCAGTTCTGACTCTGTGATGACTCTGACTCAACTACAAATTGTGAGGATTTCGTCAAGGAAACTTTATTTACTTCAAATGAGAGAATAGTTCATTACCAGAGTTTGGAAGAAATTAAAACTCAAATTAGATCCAAAGCCCCAGACATGACGAAGGAACAAATATACAATAAAATGCTTAAAGATTGTAATTATGAGAAGATTACAGAGATTAGTTCAATTTCTCTTAAGCCAAGACTCTCTTATTTATATAGATACAAAGGCTGCGACAAGAAGTATACCAAGATATGGAACTTACTAGACTATGTCCGTATGCGTGAAGGTATCCGTCCGCTCAAGTGCCCTCATTGTACCAGGGCATTTGCACAGAAGGATAATTTCAGTAAAACACCTTTCCAATCACAACCTTACTTCTCTAAAGAACGAAAGCGCTACAAATGCTCAATCGGGAATAAAGAATACACAGAGAGATATAACCCAGAGGCCAATTAGACTTGATAATAGTGTTTATAGAGTTTAATAGATTCTTAGCTTTTACTATCTCCCATCTTTATTAGTAATTCTATAAATAATTAATTACTCGGGGTTTTGGGGTTTTGGGGTTTTGGGG